GCAAAACAAAACGAGTCAAGAAACTGCACCTTTACCGGTATCGTGTTGTTGCCATTCCAAAAGGGGAATCTGTTAAAACATCAGTTCACATCAGCCTGGGCGGCCTATTGCCTAAAATAACATTAAAAAAAGGTTAAAACCCCTTTTTGGTCCCTGGACTATTGTACGGACCCCCGATTTGGTCCCTGAACTAAAAAAATCCCTGATTTGGTCCCTACTGTTTACCATTTTTACCCCGATTTGGTCCTTCCGTTAAAAACTGTGTGACGTGGCATGTTGCTTAACTGTTACCAGATGACATGTCATATAGCAATCCACGTGGAAGACCAAAAAGTGAGGATGTGGAAAAAATAATAATATAAAAAAATATTATAAAAAATAAAACTTAAAAAAAAATTTTTCTTTTTTCCTTTTTTCTTTTTCCTTCCCCTTTCCCTTTCTCTTTCTCCTTCCCCTTTCTCTTCTCTTTCCCCTCAGAACCCAACAGGCCTGGGTTCCTTCGAACCCACCCAGGCGCTGGGTTTGCAAGGAACCCAAGCGTGCTGGGTTCGCGTCTGGTGTTGGGTTCGCGTCTGGTGCTGGGTGCGCGTCTGGTGCTGGGTGCGTGTCTGGTGCTGGGTTCGCTAGGTTCGCGTCTGGTGGGTTCGCGTCTGGTGCTGGGTTCGCTGGGTTCGCGTCTGGTGCTGGGTTCGCTGGGTTCGCATCTGGTGCTGGGTTCGTGTCTGGTGCTGGGTTCGCGTCTGGGTTCGCACCGAACCCAGCATGCCTAGGTTTGGTGGAACCCAAGCGTGCTGGGTTCGCGTTTGGGTTCCTACAAACCCAGCACGCTTGGGTTCACAAGGAACCCAGGTGCAAAAAATTTTTAAAAAAAAATTTTCTGTTTTTGTTTTTTGGATTTTGTTGTTTGATTGTGATGAAAAAATTGATTCATGAAGATGAAGAAGGCATTACTGCAGGTGTTAGGTGTTGGGTTTGATGCTGGGTTCGATTTTTCAATTTCGAATGCTAGGTTTTTGCAGGTGTTGGGTTCATTTGCAGGTGCTGGGTTCGATTTCGAACCCAGCAAGCGTTGGGTTTGAGCAGCTGCTGAGTTCTTGCAAGTGAGGCTCTGGGTTTCGTTTCGAACCTAGCAGCCGTTGGGTCAAATATATATTGAGTTTAATCTGTTGATTTGTTGTGTTATCTTCGAATTTAATATTAGGAATTAGGGTTTGCAGAAGGTTAAAGGAAAGGGAGAGGAAGAAGAAAGGGAAAAAGGAAAAACAAATGAAGAAAAAAAAAAAGAATAAGAAATTTTTTAACATTTTTTTCTTGCCATCTCATTTTTTTTCACACTGTACATCCTAGGTGTCAAAATGTTTTAACAGGTCATCGTTTTCCCCGTCAAGTAACTGGACACGTCGGTTGATATTTGACGGAAGGACCAAATCGGGGTAAAAATGGTAAACAGTAGGGACTAAATCAGGGATTTTTTTAGTTCAGGGACCAAATCGGGGGTCCGTACAATAGTTCAGGGACCAAAAAGGGGTTTCAACCTTAAAAAAAATAGAGAATTTT